TGCACCTCTTGTTCTTAGAGTGAGATTTCATGCACTCGTCATCGATGAGGTCTTGATTTTTGTCTCAAAATGCATGTAATTATTTTTCTAGTGCAATTGATTGGGCTTTCTTAAGTCCCTTTTGATCTTCTTGTTGATGCATATTTCGTGTAGAGGCTGGTATGAAAGTGGTAAGTTACTTGAAAGGAATTTGTTTGCAGCAGTTTGAAAATGGTTGTTATTATTTGTTTGGTTACAAATATTGCTACTGGATCTTCAGAAATAAAGTATTTAGTGTATAGAAATACTGGCATTTTAGGAGTGATCTTAAAACAATTTTTTTTTATATGGCTCTGTATGAATATCTGTGAGTCTGAACAGTTATCTGTCCATCTGTCTCTCAGGCCTTTAGCGTCTGAATGGTGGAGTGAATTTTCTTCATACTTGGTAGTGAACAGTACTTGTGTGCTGTGAGTTTGAACCTAATAATATAAAATTTAAGAATGATTTAGCAAACAGGAAAGGCATGCTGAAATGTCAGACATGCAGTTTATTCAAAAACAGTTCATACATAAAAATGGATATCTTCTGGGTTGTCGTGCTGTGTAGTCTGTTAGAAGATTGCCGATTTCAGTTTCTGTTGGCAGCAGAGATGAAGTTGGCTGCCTTCTCGGTTGTTGCGCTGCGTAATCCGCTAGACATTACTGTATGTTTTATAGGTGCTTACTGCCTCCATGACATTCCTTCCACCTACAGTGACTTTTTAGACAGTGCAACAGTGAATTGACTCCTGTATTATGTATGGAGCAGTCTGACTTGGCAAGAAGAGCACTGGGCTCATTCACCTTAATCCTTGCTCTCAAAAGAAACTGACTGTGATGTTGTTATGAATTATTTTGATCATAGTGTGTTTCTTGTTAAGAAGGCTGCCACAGCCCTCTTCCATAGTGTAAAATTACGTTATTTACATGATGTTTGATTGAAGTGAAACATAGATTGTTTAAAGCTTTGTTCTGACTTATATAATTTCAGCAAATATTTGTGTCGTATTTGTCTTTACACATTCCAATACAGATATAAGTGGGATTCCAACTTACAATTGATTTTTATGTTGCTTAACAATAAAAAGAACAAAATTAAAACAATTGGTTACCCTTAAATGCCCCTCGTGATATATTTTAAAGTTACATCATTTGAATCAACCATATTTCGAACATTATGGACTAGCAAAACTTGCGCCAATTAAACGTATAACTAGCTGGATGTCCAGGTGTGTGTGTTTTATGTTTATCAGGAGTTACGTTGCTTAGAAACGAACGTATTACAATCATTGTTCATGTTTGTCCGTGGGTAACTCTCCTAATTTGTCGCCAGACAACTTTGAGGACGGATACTGTACCCAGAAGTTACAGAACTCCAGTAAAATAGGCTGCCCTCCATCAGATATCATTTCAATTTTAGAATCGTTCCATCTCCGTTGTCCATGAATTTGGCGTTATTAAAACTCAATCGCCTAAGAAGTCTGATACACTGCATTTCGTAGGTTATGGTATCATTTTGAGTGGAAATGCCTGTAGAGAATGCTGTTTTCTCAACATCGACGTCTGTGTAGCTGCTAGCATTCCTTCTCGTTTGAATATTAAGCTTAATTCAGTACGTAGAATTTTCCTTTTGAGGAACATCTGTGTGGGTTCCGATACGGTAGATCAGTT